TTTTTTTTTTTTTATTGTGTAAAACAATTAAATAATTAGATATTTAAATTTGATATTTTTTTAAATAAAAAAATATGTATATTTAACAATTTTAAAATTATACTATGACATCAACCTCATAAATTATTTGACGAAAACAAATAATAAAATATATACTTCATCAATTATTAATCTCAAAACTGATTTCGTACCTCCAACAGTCCAACTATACTCGTGGCCGTGTTACCGGACATCTCCACCGGAGACACGCTGCCGCCGGTGAGTTATCGGCGCCTTCATTCCTCTAAGCCAAATGTTCACGAAAGTTTGGAGGACAAACGATTTTTGTTCTCTAGCGATTTTGAAAGTATTTAGCCGTTCTCCTCACTAGCAGCTAAATTAGATGATTTATCAGCTGCCATTGTTTGAATCGTGGGACCTGGATTATCTTGTACCGTGAGTCTTTGATTTGATTAAGGTTTTAGTACAATCGATTGCATGATTTATGTTTTTGGTGTTGTAGATATGAATCAGACAGCTGAGGAATGGCAGATTCCGATGGTGGATAGGCTCATTTCATTTTTTGTTGTCATTTTAGGAACTGTTTGCAAATTGTTAGGCAGTTTCGTTTTTGGTGCGTGTTTATAGTATTGGTTTACCGTGTTATCGTCGTCTTATGAACTCGTATCTCGTTAGCCTGCGTGATGAATGGACCTCAAGATCTGAAGGTTAATGTTTAGTTTCGCAAATAAGAAAATTTACTCTTTCAACTATTGGCAAATTGTTTGGTGTTTTGCTTTTAGTAAAATATTTAACCGTATCTTCAATAGCAGCTAAATTAGATGATTTCGTTGCTGACATTATTTGAATCGTTGGTTCTGGATTAACTGTTACTGGTACCATGCATCTTTGGTTTCATTTAGGTTTTAGTACAATGAATTGCATAATTATATGTTTGGTGTTGTAGATGTTTGTCAGACAGCTGACGAACGTCGAATTCCAGTGGTGGATAGACTCATCTCGTTTTGGCTGTTTCTTTTAGTAACTCTTTGCAAATTGTCAGGCTGTTTTGTTTTCGCTGTGTGTCTTTAAAGTGTTGGTTAATCGTGTCTTGTTAGCCTGCTTGATGAATGAAAGTCAAGTCAAGAACATTAATGGTTAGTTGCCCAAATAAGAAAATTCCTTCTTTCAACTTCATGAGTTTTAAAGTTAGTATTTACTTGCATGATGTCTTGTTATCTGATGCTTACTTCATGAGTATGCTGCTGATGGACTTAAAATGTGTAACAGGAAATTTCATCGCTGGTATTGTTTATTTGCCATGGGTGATTGGTGAAAATATTTAACGACCTAATCGAGATGGTCCCTCTTAGTAACAGCACTGCTGAAAACATAGGAAGTTCTGATGTACTTGGGATGAAGACCTGCCAATTTTATTTACTTTTTCACGGTGAAACTAAGCTTGGTAATGGTTTTCGAGGATTCTTGTATTTCGTGGCTCTTGCATACTGTTTTATTGGGTTATCAGCTATAACTGCCCGTTTCTTCAAGTCCATGGAAACTGTTGTTAAGCATACTCGGACAGTTGAAGAGATGGATCCTTATACTAATACCAAAATCGTTAGACGCAAAAAGGTTTGGAATTACGCCATAGCTGACATTAGTTTGCTGGCATTTGGTACTAGCTTTCCGCAAATATCTTTGGCTACCATCGATGCCATAAGGAATCTTGGAAATTTGTATGCTGGAGGTCAATCTCTCTCTCTCTCTCTCTCTCTCTCTCTCTCTCTCTCTCTCTCTCTCTTGTTGTATGCATATGAAATTTTCTTTTCAACATTATAATCATATTCCTGCTGATAATTGTACAAAAGAAACAATATTGCTCTAATTTTGGTTCTTTTCTGATCTTTGATCTGTGCATGTCAAGCCTTTCAAATTTTATGATGCATTGCAAAGGATTCATGCCATTTTTTTTTTTTTTTTTTAAATACATCATGGGATTTTTGTCAAGAACCTCGACATTTTACCTGTACTAATATATTCCCATCACTTCGAATGACAGGTTTAGGTCCTGGAACACTTGTTGGATCTGCTGCTTTTGATTTGTTTCCCATCCACGCTGTTTGTGTTGTGGTTCCTAAAGCTGGAGAACTAAAAAAGATAGCAGATATTGGAGTGTGGCTTGTAGAGCTTTTTTGGTCTTTCTGGGCTTACATCTGGTTATATATAATATTGGAGGTATTTTCTGAGTCGAGTATAGAATTAAAAAAATATTAATTTCTATTCGAATCTTATCATTTTTTACATAGTTTATCATAGCCTTGATAATAAACAGGTCATTTACGGATAAGAAATATGCAGGTATGGACTCCGAATGTTATTACTCTTTGGGAAGCTTTGTTGACCGTGCTTCAATATGGACTGTTGCTATTACATGCATATGCTCAAGATAAGCGTTGGCCATATTTGTCTCTGCCGATGTTGGTTTTCTGTTAATTCTATTTGACTTTTTTTATCCTCTACACAACTCATTTATCATGAGGAAAAAAGAGAGGCATGATCGTTTTGTTTTTGATTTTTATGTTCATTAATCAATCAGAAAAAGAATCGAGAGGCCGGAAGAATGGGTTCCGGCGGAAGCTACCCCTCGCAGGAATGAAATAGCAACTCGTGATATCCTTGAAGATGAATATGAAAACCGGGACATTGTTGATGTTTTCTCCATCCATAATCGTGATACAGGTAATCCTCATCTTTTGTTTTCTCTTATTTCACGCACAGACATATGAAAGGTACAGTTGTCCACCTTAAACATTTCTCTATTTCTCTATTCTTGTTTTACATTTTTCCCGATAAACAGCCTTGTTTACATTCTAGTCTAAACACTTTATATGCTACACAACGATATATAGTATATATGCCTTTCCTAACAAATCTTTCACTAAATTCATATTAGATTGAGCAATCGGGCGTTTAACCTTTTTTAGTTTGGGAGAGAAGCCTCACTCACTGAGCCAACTGTGTTAAGACATTTAAAGTCTGATCTATATGAATTTTCAATGTGATAGTCAGTGTAAATATTTACTCTTATCATTTAACGAAGCCATCTAGGGATGCAGAAAACTTTTAGTTCAATTCATGTGAGTTAGCAATATCTCATAGTTTAATCCACATATGCAACTACTGAAAGAGATTAAGTAAACATAACCTGAAGCAAGACATTTGCTCCGGAGTGTTTCTTACATGCTGATAATTTCACCCACACACAAATACATGTACGCACATATATATCCGAGAAAATGCATTTTCACTACCCAATGTTTGCTAATTTGAAATCTTGCGTGGCACTAAATTTTTAATTTAGTTTATTAATCATAACATTAAGCTTTGATAACAGATCCTGTGTATCAAAAATTGCCTGATAGTGACCTCACTGGACCCTCAGATGAATCTTGCCGTGAAACTCCTGATAATTATAATTTGATCTCAATATGGAAGCAGCAGTTCGTTGATGCATGCGTGGTACTGCTCATTTTCCTTTTTCTGTTCATCTCTTTGTTTTTATTGAAATAACTTTTGGCTATTACAAAAATATTTGCAGTTATATAATTTGATAATTACTTAAAGCCGTGATGTTGATAGGCAGACCATACACACGTGTGCATACACATGCGCTCTCTCACTCACTCACACACACACAAAAGAAAAAATGAGAACTGATCTTTTTCCAGATTATAAATGCCCGCTTTATTTGCTATTCTTTCCCAATTTGCACCCATAAGAGTGGGTTCCTGTTAGGTAAACACAAACACAAATTTCAGCTAATACTTCAAGAGTTTAAGTTTTGAAAGTTAACTAGAGTTTTTGTACTTGGACCAAATCTCATGAGATGTCTTTTGCAAATATCCCTTTCTAATTTTATAAAACATGGATTCTACTTGTATTGCCTTATTCTCTTCTCTCATGGGTGGCCTTTTCGATACTTGTATTGAAATATTAATATTTCCAATTTCATTTTGAACAGCTCGAAATCCCACAAGCGAAGAAACTGAATAACACATGCCTTAGGTCTGCAAAGGCTTTCTGGCAGTTGCTCCTTGCACCCTGGAGACTTCTGTTTGCTTTTGTTCCACCTTGTCACATTGCCCACGGATGGGTCTCTTTCATTTTGTCCTTGGTTTTCATCAGTGGAATAGCTTACATTGTGACTAAGCTCACGGACCTAATAAGCTGTGTCACAGGTTCATCATATTTTCAAGAGAAAATTAATTGGAAAAAGTGCATATAAAGGTACCACATTTAAGACTTTTGCAATTAAATCACCACCTTCATATGTTTACCTTCATATGTTTTGCAGGTCTATAGGAAGTTAAAATTACATATGAAATGTTGTGATTTAAACACAAATAGCAAAAGGTGGTGATTAAATTGCAAAAGCGTTAAAGGTGGTGCCTTTATATGCAATTTTGCCAAAATTAATTATGTGCCACTTTCGGATGGCCCTGTCATAATATCTTAGCTAAGCAAGACTATGCAATAATGCAATAATGTCCAAATGCAGGCATTGATGCTTATGTTATAGCATTTACAGCTTTGGCTGCCGGGACATCATGGCCAGATTTGGTGGCGAGCAAGATTGCTGCCGAGCGGCAGATCACAGCTGATTCGGCCATAGCTAATATCACTTGCAGGTTCCTCTTACTTATTTCCAATTTCCATCTATCCTTTTATTTGTCATGCTCGAATATTACTTTTTCTTTAAAATGCGTCTTCATGTTGGAATGTTGTGCTCATTGCTCGCTTGAACCTTATGCAAAGTACATAGTTAGCACGATCTCAAAATCCACAGATTTATCTTTTCAAAGTATAAATAGCCCTTCCACATTTGTTTCTTTTTTCAAAGTATAAATA